TCCAGAGCCAGCATCAAAAGATTATGCTGTTACATAAACTCCACAGTGCCCAGGAAACAAAAATGCTTGTATGCAAAATTAAGATAAACTGTCAGAGGAGTGTCACGGTAAACAATAGCTCCCTGTCAGAACCTCACCAGAATGCACTGGACCAGCTGTTACAACACTCTTGATTAACTCTCTCCAAGTCCAGCCACTGAAAACATGACTAATACAATCATCCAGCACTGTTAGTACTGGTGTTCCTCAGAATAAACTATTCTTGGCTGTGTGAACTACTGCTCGATAATTCTGACAACATCTATTACATTAATAACATCACCATTTCACTCAGAAACAGCAAAAGAAAAAAGGGTTAGTCTGAGTAAGGAATAGTCAAAATACCCTGATTCTCTGAAAAAGAACATCACAAAGCAGACTGTTTTTGAAAATATTTTAACACTAATATGAATTTTAGTAAAAATGCAAATATATATATTTAAGTCCTGCTCAAAATTAAATCTAAAAATAAAGTAATCCTTTAGAAATGGGCGTCAGATTAGTCTATTTAACAGAAATGTCTGGTTGTGTTGAGATCTTTTAACCTTGGAAATGAGATCATAAATCTCAAGTTTGAGTAATTTCTAATCATTTTATCTGTGTCACAGATAATCTACTCTTGACAGGTCTAAAATGGCATCTGATTATCATTACTATGATTACCCTGTTACATTCTACTATCAATTTGGTATACTGCCTCCCTAAAACCTCATGTTTCTTAAGGACAGCATTTGTTTTGCTTATTTGTTATCTCACAGGCCTGTATTTAAGCTATACCATTAAAAAGTTTATAGTTGACAGTAGAAGGTAATGAAATGACATCCTCATTAGTGTTTTCCCAAAATGTCTCTTGGATTTTTGGGGTACACAGGTTAGGGAAAGAGAAAGACTGCCATGAAATGATTAAAATTACCGATTCCTTCTATTTTTTTCTTATACAGTACTACATGACAGATCCATCACTTCCCTAATACTGCAGAGATCCTTGAATTGAGATTATAGTAAAAACATGTCCAAATGTGAAATATTCTGTAGGCAATATGTTTCATCATTAAAATGAAACAAAAACATACTTTGTGAGGAAAGCAAGCATAATATATATCATTAATTTTAATCGAAATATTAAATATTTTATTTAGATGCTAATTCATTAATTTAAAAATTAAACACTGACTACAAAATATTAATCAAGCCTTAAATAACTTTGAGTTAACTCAGGAAGGAGTACATATTCTGGAAAACTTTTATTATTATTATTATTATTATTATTAAATTCAAAAAGAGTAGTATTTAAGGTTCACTATGAAAGTCCAGACAAATGCAAACTGATAGTAATTTTTGTTATTTATATTCAAGAGAAAGAACAGCAACTAAAGACCAGACTAACATAGTCATTCTCTCTCTTTCTCAGTACTTGGATCTTTTATGACTGTTTCACAGATGTCCAATTTCTACAGACATAACGCTGAACTAGTCACTTTATGTACGGAGAAAGAGGTGAAATGTTTGAGAGCATTATTTAACAAATATGGCTTCTACTCAGTTTTAGAAATATCACATCAGAAGTAGATCTATTTATACAATAAAATGCCGTTCTATATTATAACAAAAGGAAATCTGCAATTTGAGAATATTCACATATTGGCTGAATGGAACAATCAGAATGGACCCCAATGTACAGTACCCTTTTAAAATAATAAGTAACTACTCATTATGTCTAAGTCAGAGGAGAATGCTAAAATTTTAGATTAGAGGTACTTAAAAGATCTTAAAACCTTAACTCCCTGAGGCTATCAGGGCTGCTAGATGGGAAAGGAACCATTACATTCAGCTATAAACACCTGATAGCCCTTACTAATATGAACTCTTAGCTGTGATGCTCCAAAATGTCCATTTCCATTCAGAGTAAGAATTTGCAGAAATCTGAAAAATTTTGTAGTACTATAGACGATGAAAACATATCAATGATTTTACTCAAAAGATACAAGCATAGCCTGGCAATTTTGACATGATTTATAAACTGGATTAAGTTTATTATCACAAAATATGAATGAGCATAAAAACTGAGAAAAGATTTTAGAGGAAAACTCTCAACTTTAACATTTTACTAATACCAAGCTATTTATCATCATTATTAGAGAAGTCAAAAGAATATTAGAAAATATCTAAAACTGAATTAATAAATATATATATTCAAACATATTTCACAAATATCCATGAATAACCACTAAGCATATGAAGAAAGCTTAAAAATTATTACTCATCAGGGAAATACAAAACAAGATACTATTAAAAGCCACCAAAACAGCTACAATTAAAAAGACTAATAACAAAAAAGATAATGAACCTATGAAACAACCAGAATTCTCATATATTGGTAGGAATGCAAAATGGCGTAATCATTTGAGTAAAGGGTCTAACAGGTTTAATTTTAAAAAACAAACCGATCTTATGTAACAAAAGTAATTTTACTTCTACAATATGTTCACTGTCCCATTAAAACAAACAAACAAACAAACCTTGCACCCTTCAGCGATCATCTCAGTCCCCCAGCAGCAGGCAATCACAAGTCTATTTGCTGTCGCTATTGATTTTCCCATTCTGGGCAATTTCATTTAATGGAAGCTGTAAGTGGCCTTTCTGTTAGTATGCTTCACGCCTTCAACATACATCCATGTTGTAGCAATGATCAGTACCTCATCTTTTTGCATTTTCATGAACAAATAATACTCTATTGTATGGCTACACCACATTTTATGTATTTCTTCAGTTTTAGGACTTTATTAATAATGCTGCTGTATTCATGTACAAATTTCTGTGTGGACAAAGGACTGGAACTGCTGAATCTAATGCTAACTCTATGTCTAACTTTTGAAAGAACTGCTAGAGTTTTCTAAAGTAGCTGCAGCATTTTACATTCCCACTAGCAGTGCGTAAGAGTTCTGATTCTAGGGTTGGGGATTTAGCTCAGTGGTTCGGCCACGTGCCTCCCAAACCCAAAGTCCCAAGTTTGATTCCCAGTACCAAAAAAAAAAAAAAGAGTTCCAATTCTTCTACAACCTCACCAGTGACTGTTATTAACTGTCTTTTTAATAGATCTGTTCTCATAGCTTTTGCATTTCTAGGAAGACTAATAAGGTTCAACATGTTTTTGTGTGCTTAATATTCATTTATATATTTTATTTAGGTAAATCGTTTGACTATATTTGAATTGGGCTTTTTATTACTGAGTTATAAAAGTTCTTTATATATTCTAAATACAAGTTCCTGATCAGATCTGTGATTTCCAGATATTTGCTTTCATTCTCTAAGCTGTCTTTCTACTTTCTCAATAGTGTCCTTTGAAGCACAAATGTTTATTGTTTTGATTAAGTCCAATTTATCCATTTTTTTCTTTAGTAGTTTACACTTTTGATGTCTTGTCTAAGACAATACCATTGGCAAATGCCAGGTCACTGAAGTTTACTCCTACATTTATATATACTGTGAAGTAAGGGTTCAACTTCAATTCTGTTTCATGTGCACATCTAGTAGTCCCAGCACAAGTTGCTGAAAGACTATTCTTTCACCACTAAATAGTCCTGGCACACTTGCATAAAACCAAATGACTGAACATATATACATGGTCTATGTACAGTTGGCTGTGGCTTCCACATTCGTAGATTTAACTAAATTTGGATCAAAACTATTTTGGAGGGGCCAGGGATTTAGCTCTGTGGTTATACCACCTGCTTCCCAAGCACAAGGTCCCAAGTTTGATCCCGGTACCAAAATAACAACAACAACAAAATTATTTTGGAAATAATTTACATATTCAGACTGTTTCTCCTGTCATCATTCCCTACACAATACAGTTTAACAATGACTTATATGGCATTTATATTATACTAGGTATTATAACTTAGGTAATGTTAAAATGATTCAGAGTATACAGGGGGTCACTATGCTAATAAGATGCCATTTTCCCTAAGGGACTTAAGCACCCAATGCAGATTCTGGTATCTATATGGCATCCTGGAACCAATAACCAGACAGAAGTGGATGCTTTGCCTCCAACAAGGTTGTACTCATTTATGCTCACACCCGGGATGTATGAGAAAGCCTACTTGCCGACCTTTTCTGTAATACAGTATATTATGTTTTTCAATTCTTTCTTATGATTTTTAAAGTCTTTTGTGATAAAGGGATATGACAATGATAATTATGAAGAAACAGTCTATATTTCAATCACAGATCTCATTGCTTATACACCTGCCTCAAAGTGACCTACAAAACTTGGGAAGTAAATGCACCTATCCTATGAAGGGCCTAGCTCCTAATGATACTTCCACATGTTTGATACAGTTGTTCCAATTAGGCAGCGCAAAATAAACAACACATCCAATGTAGGTAATAAAGAAAAGGAAAATAAATAAGTAAATACTATTTACAAGTGTATTTTTCATGTAAAAATGTAAAAAAAAAAATAAAGACATTATTTCAGGGTTTTTCAACATCAAACATAAAATAAGGAGCACTCAGCCTTTCAGACAACCTAAACAATAGTAATCACTTAAGTAGCATATCAATAAATCAGTAGGTATATACAAAAAGAAAAAAGGCATAATGCCAGGTAAGGTGGTGCACGCTTATAATCCCAGCATTATGAAAGGCTGAGGCAGAAGGATGGCAAGTTCGAGCCCAACTTAGGGAGATCCTGTCTCAAAATTAAGAAAAAAATAATAACAAAAAATAGGCTCAGTGCAAAAGCCCTGGGTACTGTAAAAGAAAATTTTATGTACACTCTATACCAACTACTACCTACTATTATAACTATTTTTAAATTATATAGGCATATGAAAGTGATAGTGTTATGGGTAATTTTCTCCTTTGATTTCTAAGTTTTCTGTAACTTTCAGAATTAAGTCCCTGATTAAGTAATATGTTCATACAATGCCATTTTACATTAAAAATATACTTACAGTGATGATGCCAATTAGTTGCGTATAAAAGAGTCCAGTTATTCCAACAAACATAGTAATCCCCATAAAGGCAGCAAGCCTCATGATGGCCAATTCATGTCGAAAAACAAAGTAGTCCTATAAAGAAAAGGAAAGAACTCCTCAGAACAACTCACAGTGTGTCGCCATAATCATCAGGTATGAACTGTAACACATGCCCTTTCTTATCTTAAAAGTACTACTGTCCTCCCTCTCTTTTAAGAGTGTTCAATTTAATCAACGTGTAAAATACCTGAGATTTTGAAAACTAAATTTTAAATTTACAACAGAAAGCTGAAGAAGATAGGATGCTTCTACAGGCATGGTGCATACCTGCAATCCCAGCACATGAGAGCCAAGTCCAAGTCCAGCCTCAATTACATAGTGAGTTCCAGGCCAGTCTAAACCACAGAGCAAGACCCGGTCTCAAAAAAAAGGGGGGGATTTTTTTTATGGTACCAAAAAACCCCACTCTCAGGGTTCCAAGTTGTCCTTATTTGAATCTGTTTGAATCTGTGACAGAAATCATACATGTATATAATATTTGGTCTACAAAAAAAATTTTATTATTATACTGCTAAAAATTTTGAATGCACAAGCATAAGTCACTTTAATAAAGGAGCAATACTCAGGTTGTGCCTTCAAGTGACCAAAATTCCTGAATGTTACCGCCCTCACATTTTCCCCATCCCATCACTCACCCAGCACTGGGGAGGGTTATGAGATGTAGTAGAAATGCACAAATAGAAAGATATGGTCCATGCCATTAAAAAGTATGCAGTATATTAGAGAAAACCCAACTTTGCAAACTTCCAAAATACAATCCATGCTGTGACAGGGCAAGCCCCAAGTACAGCACCAAGGAAAAGGAATTTGCAGAAGAAATGGAAGTGCTAGGGCCGGGATGTAGCTCAGTGGCACTGCGCCTGCCTTGAAAGGGTAAGGTCCTAAGTTAGATCCCTGTACTAAAACCCACCCACCCCAAAAAACACTACAGAAAAAAAAAAAGGAAGTGGAAGGGCTGTGAGTGAGGAAGGGCTGATTTTATGGTTCTGGGTACAAAAATGAATCCTGAACATGAACAGATATTCTAGGACAAGAGAAGAAGCATTTCATTCACCATCACTGCTATCAACCAAACCAGAGGGAGGGGAGAGTCAAAGAATTAAGACTTCTCTGGAAACACACTGCTTCTAAGCTTTGCAGTAAAAGAGCCACAGCCGATGAAAGCAACAAGTGTGCTGGAAGAACCTCAAGTCATGACCACCCACACACTTTCTTTCAAACTGATTCAAGTTAAGGATTGAAGATATCCTGGTAGCAGTAACAAAAGTTAGGTCTCTGGGATAATGTGCTACCTTGAAACTAAAGAACTGACATTTTCTGTGTATCACACTGATAAGCTACTAGTCTGAAGCAAATATCTGGTTCTACATCAAAATCACTTATGTTTTTAAGCTTGGAAAAACTTAAAATTCACTAAGAGAAAGTGTTGTATAGCAAATATTAGGAAATCATTTCAAAATTTCAGTAAAAAGATCCTAATTCAGAATTCTTATAAAACACAAATGATAATAAGGGACTGGGAATAATATATAACTACAGTATGTTCTGCTATAATGCAGAACACAAATTTATCCCAACATGACCAGTATGTGTTTCTTAGGTATGATTTTAACTGCAAGAAACCCTAGATGAACAAAGAAAACTGCACCCTGGCATGTGGGAATATACAAACCACACAGCCCGCAAATCCCTCCTACTCCCTGCACCTGTCAGATGTGATCCGCCAGGCTGATCTGCGTGTCATTATAACTCTCCTCAAATTTCAGAGGCCTTCCTTCCATCCTTCCTTACCATGTGCAACCCTTCTGAGGGCCACTTTCATAAGAGGCTTCTCTCCAAGTGAAGCACAACATCTACCATGTCTATGTATTTCTTAATCATGCAACATATAATAAAACTGTGCCATAATTTTTGAGTGTTGCATCTCCATTTTTCCATAAGATCTGCTCTTTTATTGCATGGCTTTATATAGTGAAGTGACTTTAGAACTGTACACACTACATTACAGCAGAGCTTACTGTACTAAAATTATTACTTTACCAAATAAAACCCACCCTCTCTTCTAATGAAAAGATTTTTTTTTAATTTTGTGCAAATATAATTTATAAATGTCAGGAATGGTTATGACACTAAAAAAATCTACTTATAGGAGGGAGATGAAGGGTGGAAAGAGAACAATAAAAGGAATTAAGATGTGTTATATACATGTAGCAGCTCTACCAAAGAACGTAACCATTATGTACTGCAAATGCGTACAACAACAAAAGGAAGAGAAGGATGGAGGGTAAAAAGGAAGGAAGAGAAAGGGATGAAAACAGGAATCAAGACATACTATGTACACGGACCAACTCCCCATAAGGAGTGTAAACATCATGGACTACAAACATGTACTAATACAGAAAATGATCTGGAGGGTGCAGAGCCCAAAAGAGTTCCATCAGAGGTGGTAAAATATAATTTACTGTCACTGCCACAATTTCACCCAATGCTGGCCACTCCCAGTTCATTTGGTATGATGGAAGAAATTGCTTTTTATCACTTTTATATTTAAAAAAACTGTATTCCAAGTCCACACATGTATAACAACAACACTGATTCATATTTTGGATCATTAACACTGTTTCCAGTGCAGATTTTTACTTCTGTCTTACATATTTTTAGAGACTGCACTTTCTGAATCTTAAAATTGCCTTAGGAAATGTTATTAATCAAAACAACCTACATGGTATTTAAAATCTTGACTACATAATAAGTCTTATGGGCTGAACTTGTCCACTCAACATTCATATGATAAAAGTCCTAAACTCCAGTAACTCAGAATGTGACTATATTTGGAGACAGAATCTCTAAAGCAGTAAGTCAGAATGATACCTTAGGGTGGGCAATGATCCATCTGGATTAGTGCTTAACAGAAGAAATGTGGATATACAAAGGACATGAGGAATACTCCCTCACAGAGAAGGCCACATAAGGACACAGCAAGAAGGACAGAGGCTTGAGGTGAAACCAAGCTGAGACCACAATCTCAGACTTTAGCCAGCAGAACCAGGAGAAAATAACTTCTGTTAAAGCTACCTGGTCTGTGGGTCTGTGATATTTTGTTATGGCAGCCCTAGCAAAGTAATATAATCAATAACTATGCAATATTTTTATGGTTTTTAATTTCTTCTTCTTTCTTAACAATTGTGTCTACTTACAAATAAATGCATAAAACATGTTCATCTTAAAGAAAAGTAATTCAGTTTGAGGACATCTGAAATCACACACAGCCTTCTGTGCATTCCTTACCCACCACAATCTCCCCCACCCTCAGCCTGAAAGTAAAGGTTACTGATTAATTTTTCACGCATTTTGAGTACTATGATGCAGATGTATTCTGCAAATAGTGTCTTCTCCTCTGAAATTATCTACCCACTCTCTTTACAGAATCTCTTGATAAATTCAAGTTCCTGATTTTAGTGTAGTCCAATGGATCTTGTCCATTAGTACTTTTTATATCCTCTTTAAGAAATCTTTCTTGTCCCTGATGATATTCTTCTACATCATTATCTTCCAAAGCCTTTTAAAAGCTTTAAAAGTTTACCTTTTTTTTATGTCACTAATCCTCCTAGAATTGATGGGTTTGGTGCTTTTGTTTCTTTGTTTTTTCAGTGAAAGGCGGGGGGATCTAAATTTTATTATATAAATATTTAACTGTCCCAGGATAATTTAAAGTTGTTTTTTAAATACAGATATCAAGTATCATACATGTATGGATCCAATTTGGCCTGGGTATTTGGTCCCATTAGTTTATCCATCCCTGTACAAATGATAAGTGCCTTGGTTACTATCACTTTAGAATAAATCTTGATACTTGGTAGGACAGTTGATACTATCCTACTCTTTTGCAAGAATATCTTGGTGACCCAAGATAACTTACATTTCTACAAAAGTTTAAATTTTCTACTTACAATACACATTCCAGTATGCTTCCACATAATGGAGGGCCCATTAGGTTTCCAAAATCCCCTTTAGTACTCTTTTTTTTTGGTACCAGGGATCGAACTCGGGACCTTGTGCTTGCAAAGCAGGCAGTGGATCCACTGAGCTAAATCCCAGGCCCATTTTGTACTTTTTTGTCAGATTTAATTCAATAACTTTTTTTGAGTTGGCAGGTCTTTTGCTGCCTCTATTTTGGTCTGTTTGTTTTTTAGACTGGGTCTCACTATGTAGCTCAGGCTGGCCTTGAACTTATAATCCTGCCCAAGGTTGCCAAGAATCACAGGCATGCCATCACCAAGACCAATTTTCTTTCTGTTTTGTTTTGTTTTTTCTATTCTAAATAGCATTTTCTATTAATTTCACTGACTAAAGGTTTAATATACAGACATATAGCTGATTTTTAAAAATATTAATTTGAAGTCATATTTTTAAAATTTTCTTTAAAATTCAAAAAAATTCACATTTACATATTTTTTTAACCTGTAAGTAACAGCCCTACTGCATTTTCTTGCCCTACTGCATTGGCTGGAACTTCTAGCACTGTCTTTAATAAAAATGATAACAGTGGGCCACAATGTCTTGTCTGCCCCAACTCAGAGGGAAAGCTGTCTATCTTTTGTCAATATTTTATCTTAGTATGCTATAATTAGTTTGTCTAAAGGTATTTTTTGTTTGTTGGAAACCTATTACCTTTTATCTGATTAATGAAATTCTTACCTAGTTCTAGTTTGCTAAGAGTTTATAACATGAATGTTGAATTTTACATAACCTTTTACAACTTTTAAAAATCTATTCTAATGTGATAAAACTATAATGACTGATTTTCAAAGGCAAAAAATCATCTTTCATTCCTAAAATAAACCCTTCTTAGTCAGGCTGGTTATTCCTAGGATATACTCAACCTGCTTCCACTTGTTAATATTTTGTTTGAGTTGTTCATCTGTATTTATAATCAGATTAGTCTATAATGTTCTTTATTTTCCTTGACAGGTTATGTATCAAGACATAGTATACACATAAAATGACCTGGGGAGAGGGTCTTTATCTATAGA